TTGAATCACTGGGATGAGGAAAGTTACATCACTGTCAGCCTTGATGAGGGTTCAGAGGACACTCTGGACGCTGCAAGCCAGTAATCTGAGAGAAGCAAAGAAACTCCTGGACGTACAAACTAAAAAGTGACTCAGGAACAAGAGACCTGACTCAAGAATAAAGCAAAGACATAAGCCCAGGATCTAATTCACGGCTTCGTCAATGAATTCTAGCAAACAGGAGAATTAACACTAGTCCCATTCTTTCCCATTTCCTAAGCTGTCCTACAGGTCAGAATTCCCATCAAAGCATCCAAAAAATAGTGTAAGAATTGGAGACCACACAACAACATCCCTTATGAACACACATACAGAAACCCTTAATAAAAGTGCTGGAGAGATGGCTCAGAGGTTAAGAGCACTGGCTGCTCCTCCAGAGGTCCTGAGTTCAATTCCCAGCAACCACATGGTGGCTCACAACCACCTGTAATGGGGTCTGGTGCCCTCTTCTGGCCAGCAGGCGTACATGTAAAACAGAACACTGTGTATGTAATAAATAAATAAATCTTTAAAAAAAAAAGCCAAGTGTAGCAGCTCACACCTTTAATTCTAGAAATCAGGAGGAAGAGGCAAGGGGATCTGTAAGTTCTAGGTCAGCTTGACTACACAGCAAGTTACAGGCCAGCCAGAGCTACACAGTGAAAGCTTGCCTAAAAAAAATTAATAATTAGGCCAGGCGGTGGTGGTGCATGCCTTTAATCCCAGCACCCCAGGAGGCAGAGGCAGGCAGATCTCTGTGAGTTCGAGGCCAGCCTGGTCTACAAGAGCTAGTTCCAGGACAGGCAACCAAAGCTACACAGATAAACCCTGTCTTGGAGGAAAAAAATTAATTTAAAAAAAATAAGAGATGGACAACGGTTCAGTTAGTAAAGTGTTTGTCATACACACATGAGGAACTGTCTGTATCTCCAGCACCCACATAAAAACCCAAGCATGGTGTTATATGCCTACAATCTTAGCACTGGGGAAGCAGAGACAAGAAGAGTGTTCACCAACTACTCTTGACCAATCAGTGAACACCAGGTTTAGCGAGAGACCTTCTATCAAAAACTAAGATTGAGAATGGCACCAGATATCTAGCCTCCATGTATGTACGTGCACACATGCATGCACACACACACACACACACACACACCTGTAACAAGACACCAGAAAACTGAACCAACAGTCTAGTAGGAAGATTACACAGAATGACCGAGTAGTTCTTACTCAAATAATGCAAAAATGGTTCAACAATGGTTATCAGTGTAATTATAAAACATGGTGAAGGAGAAAAATCAGCTTCTCAAATTGATGGCCCCCCCCAAAAAAAAATCACTTGACAAAAATCCAACCCACCTACCCCTTTGGTGATTAAAAATAGTAACTTCAATAAACCTGCAATATAAGAGGGCTTCCTTAGTTTAATAAAGGATACTAGTAAACCCCATAGTTTAACAAAGGATACTAGTAAACCCCATAGCTAGTACCATACTCAACAGAGGAAGATTGTGAGCTTTCCCTCTAAGGTCAGAGTAAAGATAAGGATGCCTACTTTTACTACTTCAGCACTTTATAAGAGATTTTATCCAGGGCAATTAAACAAGAAAAAGAAGAGGTCTAAACCAGGAACTAGGCATGATGGTACATACCATAAGGACAATACCCAGGATCCTTAGCAGAAAAATCATGAGTTTAAGGCCACCCTAGGCAACATAGTGAGTTCTAGGTGACTAGCCTGGGCTATAAGGCACAGATATGCACATATATGAACACACACACACACACACACACACACACACACGTCCAAGATCAAATCATAAGGAAGACTACCTCTGGCTCTGTGAATACACTACACTATCTTTAAAAAGAAAAAATATTAGTGCTAATAAGTAAGTTAAGCAAAGCTACAAGATCTACAGTATCAACAATAAGAAAAATATGCAGAAGCAAGTTAAGAAAACAATTTATTTGGCTGAGAATACACATCAATGGCTAAGTATCTGCTTGTATATGCAACACAGATGGCCAGAAAAACCTAACAAGAAGCTATACTAGAAAAAACATGGTACTGGCATAAGGATGGACAGAACAGAGACAAAACGTAAACTCATGCGTCTGTGGTTAGTTGGTTCTTGACAAGAATGTCAGGACAATTCTCTAGAGGAAAAAGATTCTTAAGAAAGCTGTTGATGCTAGGCATGGTGGTGCATGCCTTTAATCCCAACACCTGGGAGGCAGAGGCAGGCGGACCTCTTGCGTGTAAACCAGCCTGGTCTACAATTAACTTCCAGTATAGCTGTGGCTACACAAAGAAACTCTATCTTGAAAAACCACACACACACACACACAGAGACACACACGCACACACGCACGCACGCACGCACACACAGAGAAAGGAAGAAAGAAAGCTGTAGATAACAGGAAAGATAGCTCCGTGGTTAAGAGCACTGATTGCTCTTCCAGAGGACCAAAGTTCAATTCCCAGCACCTAGAAGGCAGCTCACAACTGTCTGTAACTCCAGTCTCCAGGAATCTGACACCCACTTCTGGCCTCCATGGACACCAGGCACATTCATGTGGTGCACAGACACCCATAAACATAAAAAAAAGAAAAAAAAGAAAAAAGAGAAAGAAAAAATACTGAATGCTGTTGAAACGAGATAACATCTATAGATTTTCCAAAAAAGATGTTTAGTCTCCTACCTTTCCTGCCATTTATAAAAATTAACTCAAAATGGATTAAAGAGTAAATATAAGAGCTAAAAGAATAAAAATCTCTAAAATAAACAAGGGAGTAATTTCTTTACTCCCTTGATCAAACAATAGTTGTCTTAGATATTGACACCAAAAGACACGCCATGAAGAAAAACTAGATTTCATCCGTTGTAAACTTTTGTGTACCAAAGGTTAACTACCACAAAAGAATAAAAAGATAATCCCCCAAAATGTGAGAAAAATGTATGTAAATTACACATTCTAATAATGCTTTGGTATGCCACCTATGTATGCTGCTTCTAGAACTCAGCAATGAAAAGACAAAAGACTTGGGCTGGAGAGATGGCTCAGAGGTTAAGAGAACTGACTGATGTTCCAGGGGTCCTGAGTTCAATTCCCAGCAACCACATGATAGCTCACACCCATCTATAATGAGATCTTGTGCCCAGAACACTAGATACATAGTAAATAAATAAATAAAAAAAAGACTCAGGTAAACAGTGAGCAAAGAGTTGAATAGATACCTCTCCAAAGATATACATCGCCAGAGTACATGGAAGGCTCAGCATCATTAACCACTTGGAAATGCAAACAAAACCGTGAGTTACTTCACACTCACTGAATGGCTACAATAGTAATGACAAAAGAAAATAGCAAGTGATAGTGTGTGTGAATAAACTGGGGAGTGTAAAATAGTATAATCAGTGAGAGTAACAGTTAGGCAGTTCTTCAAGATGACAGATATAGAATTATAAGACATATGCTCAACAGAGTTAAAAAAACAACGCTCATATACTCAAAGAGTTGAAAAATCAGTGTTTCAACAAAAACTTGTGCACAAATATTTGTACGGGCACCGCTGCAAAGAATTTCCAAGTGCAAAAATCTAAATGCCTATCAACTGATGAAATGGATAAATAGAACATAGTTTATCTGTGCAACGGAACTACTCTCGAATAAGGAAGAAAGCATCGATATAACAGATGAATACTAATGGAGTGGGAGAATTGTCTGTATTCTGTCAATCATATTTTAATAAAACGCTGATTGGCCAGGCAGGAAGTACAGGTGGGTCAACCAGACAGGAAGTGGAGGCAGGGCAATGAGAATAGGAGAAGGCTAGGGAGGAGGAAACTTCCTCAGTCACTCCTGTGCAGACCACCGAAGAGGCAGCATGTAACTTGCCCAGCTGAGAAAGGTACGGAGCCATTATGGCTAACATAGATGAGAATAATGGGTTAATATAAGTTATAAGAGTTAACAAGAAGCCTGACCTAATGGGCCAATCAGTTCATAACCTAATGTAGACTCTGTGATTTCTTTGGGACTTGCCGGCTGTGGGGTATCAGGTGGGACGGAAACCCCAACAAGCCGGCCCCTCATGTTAGAGTTCTCTGTGTGATTAATTTTCTTTGGGGCTTGCTGACTGTGGGGTACCAGGCGGGAACCGATACGCCAACAAGCCAGCCCTCATGTTACATACTAATAAGACGGTACTTAAGGAACTAAGTCAGTTACAACAGTACATATTATGTTTGTGTTGATATTAAATGTCCAGAACTAACAAATCTGCAGACATGAACTACATCAGTGAGTGCCTTGGACCAGAGTAACTCATGCACTCAAGAGACTGCTATACATCCAAGATCATTGCACTACCAGATTTGGTATCTGGTGAAGGCTGATTCCTGGCTCATTGAGGTTATTTTCCCTTTGCCCTCACATAGGAGAATGGTTAAGGGCTATTTGGGGCCTCTTCTATGAAGCACTAACCCCATTCTCAATCATGAATCTCCACCCCCAAGACCCCAACACGTCTCAAAGGTCATACCTCCTAAAACCTACATGTGAACTAGGCTCCAACTACATATTGGGAGTGGAGACTGAGACAGCAATCAATCCTTACCAAAGAATGAGAAAGCGGCTGGAGGAAGGCAGAGGCAGGCAGATCTCTGGAGGGTTCAAGGTTGGCCTGGTCTACATATGAATTCCATGCCAGCCAGGACTATACAGTCAGACCCTTTCAAGAGAGAAAGAGAGGAGACAGAGACAGACAGACAGACAGATTGAGAGACAAGACAGACAGAAGCTGAGGTCCACTTGATTCTCAGCAGGAAGCAGATCTACTCACCAGACCGAAAGATTACCAAGATACTTTTCTTCACCAGGATAGAAGAAGTCTAGTTTTCTCTAGACTGGAACAATATGAAACCATTTAAGTTCATAGGTTGATAAAAAACTATAATTATAATCTAGCATGTTACCTCCTCTGGGAGAAGGAGAGTCATGGCCTCCAATGACTACAGAGATGCCAGAATCTTCCAGTTTCACCTTCCATTTCTCAATGATGGTCCTAGAATTGTCCTGTAAGTATGACACTGCTGGTTAGGAAACACCTTAAGTGTGGTTTGTAAAGCATTACGTCACCCAACAGCTGGCTCATAAATACCTTGCTGGCATCATTAAAAACAGAGAGCTCCATGGTGCCTTCAAAGTCTTGCTGTAAAACAGACGCCAAGCACTCATCCAACCACTGTTCAGCATTGTGCACTGGGAGGATAATAGTCTAGAATTCAGAGAAATGAGTTAGCAAACAGCCATGGGGAACTGCGCTTCCCTTCAGCATCCACGAGATGGTTATCCCAGAACCAGGCCTGATGACAGGCATACCCAACAATCCAAAGATATCTATTTCTCATTTCTAAGCTCTTGCCATTCATTTGGTTCATAAGACTTAATAGCCCCCTCAAGTTCCTGATGCTTTCAAAAAGTTATTTCATTTATTCATCTGTTATTGTATGTGTACACATGGCACTGAGGAACAAGTCCAGGTTGTCAGGCTTGGTGCAAAGTGCCTTTACTACTGATCTCTCTATCCCTATTCCCTTCTAGATGCTTCTGAAAGGGGGAAAAAAACCTGAAAAGTATCAAAATGCCCCTCCAGTTCAATGGTAAATTCATTATTTTAATCACTAGGCAAAAGTATCACCATTATGATTAACACCTATCCCCCACTCGTGAGAACCAGCCCTTGACTAGACGGCACACTCGCCCTTAGAAAAACTCCAAAGTGACCCCTTCATACTCCTGCACATCTAATCAACAGTTGGACCAAGGGGGCATGTAGACACCCTTAATCTTTGTTCTGTCCTTGAATTCTGGCACCAGCACTTTCTCTCAGGAACTGAGAGAAATAAAATCAAAATAAATAAAATCAAAAGTTTCTAAAGTGGTATAAAATAAAATCACTAAAACTTGATGACCCAAAGAACAATTGTCAGAGCAACTCCCTCAATTTTATATAATGCAGTGAGCAATAAAAAATAGCCACAGAAACTAACAGTTGGTGCCACCCTTGAGTTAACGTGCAAATACAAAAGTTTCTCAGAAGGAAAACCAATAGGTTATGTAGGTGTGAACATACACATACATGCACATGTTGCATAGTTACATGTAACAGACAATAGCTACAAAATCTCCACAAAGCCTACATACAACATAGACAATCACTATAAATCACTATAGTTAACATCTACACATAATATACATAATATACACTTTTAAATTACTGAATCTAAACATAGCTATAAAAATTTGAGTATTGAAGACAAAATTTACCAAGTTCTTTACAAACGGAATGCTCTTTGAGGAGGTGAGGATCCAAAAGTGGCATTTTCTCCTGTCTGTGTTTGTTCTGGAAATAAATGCCTAAAGACTTATTTATTTATTTATTTATTATTTTAGCTTCTTGAGGTTGAACACAGGGCCTTGCATGTGTATAGCAGAGTTATACCCCAGTCCTGTGGACTTACTTTGTAAAGGAAATGAACATTTTTAATTTTCTCAAGACCTACAAGTGAAGAAGGGTGTGGGGTGACTCATATCTGTTATCAGTTAAGTGGGCGTGGAGGCTGGAGTGTTACTTCACGGTCATCCTCAGCTATGAGTATTGCAGGCCAGCCAGAGCTACAGGGGACCTAACAATAAAAAAGGGATGTGTGAATTTTTAACAAGGTTAGGCTAGGCCTTGATTTTACCTGTTCTCAATGTCAATAAGATTGGCATGATAAATATTGATGCTGAGTCTCTGAACTGTACCTACAAGGTGTCCTGGCTCCTGACGTCTAACCCAACAGCTAGGTTAAGTGGGGACAGGTGTGGTATACAGTCGAGGTGACCAGGGCTAAGGGAGTGGGGGTGGGCGACAGTGTGCTGGGCAAGTAGGTGTGTAGGTTAGTGTACGGTAGGCACTCTAGCAGGAGCGCCGTCTGTACACACGCTCGCCTTGACACAGGAAAGGGTGGGAGCCCTCCAAAGTTGAGGTTCCTGAACTCGTGGCAGCGTTCCGGAAAGACCCTAGCGGCTGCGAGCTCAGAAAAAGATGATTATCAGATTCGGAGGGAGAAAAAGCTATAGAAGGGACGAGGGAGCGGGGCCGTGTCTCACCCCGCCGTACCTACCACTGAGGCCAGCGGGCCATGCCCAGTGGCGTCCTTGGGGAGCTGCATGGCAGGGCTCCACCTCCCTTCTTTTGCCCGCGCGTCCTGTTCAGGCAGCCACGGCTCGCAGAGCAAGCTCCGGGAGGTGGTGCCGAGACTGGACCACTTCCGATTGGCGCAGTGCCACGTGGATCGCGAGGCACTAGCCGCTGGCGGGTTTCGGGCCGTGCGGGGCAGAAGATAGTCACGTTCTATTGGTGCAGAGACACGTCAGTCAGGGAGGGAAGGCGGGGCTTAGAGCAGAGAGCCAAACTAGGCGGCCTGCCGGTGTCTCCAAGGGCTCGTGAGCTCGCGGGTCAAGCAGCCACCCTCTGCCGGAGCAGCCGAGGAGGGGGCTGGGGCCGGGAGGTGGCCGTAGCCTACACTGAGTGTGGGCAGGGCCTGGCCGAGCAAAGGGTTGGGCTCCCGGAGGTCGTGAGCGCTCCTGGCTTTCAGCCCTTCTCGTAGTACTCGCCGGTCTTTGCGGCTTCTTGCCCCGCGGAAGTCGTCTTGCCCCACTTGATGGAAATAATCGCAAACCGAAGTCCACAATCAAAAGAATGTGATAAAAATATTTTAGAAACGGGGTGACTTGTGAGGGGTACCACCCTGTGCGGGTGGGTGATGACTTGAAAATCCGAAACCGACCACCCGAGGTTGGGCCTGAATAACTTTAAAAAGGGAAATGGCAAAAGTTTAAAACAAATAGGCGACATTTCATCTGAACTGTGTTTGGTCTGACTGCTCCGGAGGAGGAAGAAGGACCCCGCCCAGGGGGAGGATCGCCTGGCTAGGCTGGTCTGGATCTGGAGTAACCAGCAGTAGATAATTTGTGTGGACACAAGCTCTCAAGTGTGTGGCCTGCATTCGGAGGCGCGAAACGCAATCAAAGCCAGATGACTGCGTTTCTATGCTACACAGAGATTAACGGGCCCAAGGGTTCCTGGAGGTTCATGAGGGAAGTGTTCTGTGAACTGTGAGAATCCCAAAGCGCAGGAGTCCCACAGTGCCAAAAGGTCTCAGGAAATCACTTTCAAAGGACAGGTGACAATTTCTGGATCACATGGAGGGAGCATGGGAACCCAGATAGAGAGGAGGTTCTTCAAAGAAAATGTGTGATTACTAATGTAAATAACCCCTGTGCGTTTCTTTTCCAAACAGAGGCTTTTCTGACAAACGCTGGTGCCTGCAGTTTCTCTGACTAATCATCCCACAACTTGAAGTGTATTTTAAGATGGCATATTTTGGTCGTCCACACCCTCCATTTCTGAGGGGGTGACACCGAGGTCACCCACTGGCCTTGGCACCAAGCAGCCCTCAAGATGTTTCCACACTTAAAAATAGCAGGAGAAGGGATGGGAGAGATGGCTCAGTGGATAGAGGTGCTTGCTGCCAAGCCTTAAAACCCAACTTTGAGCCCTGGGACCCACATGGTGTCAAGGAGAGAACCTACCCCCACAAGTTATTTTCTGACCTCCAAACATATAGGCAGTTCATAGTCACCCACACCCCCCGTAACACATGCAAAACAACTAAAGAAAATATAATTTAGAAATAACAAACGATCTCCTCAAAGCTTCAGAGAATTACAGTGCTTTTTTTAAACTTTAGTTTTAGATGATTTTATGTATTTCAGTGTTTTGCCTGCATGTATGTGTGTGTATCACATGCCATCCTAGTGTCCATGAAGGTCAGAAAAGGGTGTCAGATCCCCTGAGCTGGAATTACAGAATTGTGAGCCACCAAGTTGGTGTTAGGAATCAAAACCATTTCTCTGCAAGATCAACAAGTGCTCGTAATTGCTGAGCCAACTCTCTAGCTAAGGGCTATAGTGCTGATGCCTTGAACTCCTTCCTCAGTAGGAAACAGTGGCCTGCTTTTCTTTCAAGGAAAGAATCTCCCTGATAGTACAGCAAAGGAACCTAGTACCCTTAGCAGTCTTGTTTGTTTGTTGTTTGTTTTGTTTTGTTTTGTTTTTCAAGGCAGGGTTTCTCTGTAGCTTTGTCCTGGAACTCGCTCTGTAGACCAGGCTGGTTTTGAACTCACAGATTTGCCAGCCTCTGCCTCCTGAGTTCTGGGACTAAAGGTGTGCACCACCGCCGCCGAGCCCTTTAGCAGTCTTACAAGCTTGATTTTAGGAGATGAAGTGGAACCCAACCTGTTTCTACAGCCTGTTCTAGGCATCACCAAACCTTTTCCTGCCTGTATAAACGAACAGGGCTATGATAGACCCTAACCCTAACCCTCTGCAAGTCACTGTGCGCTCCCTAACTTACCACACATAGAGAAGGTAAGCAGGTGACAAGGACCCCGGAGCTCTGTAAATCGAGTGTGCTTTGGCTAGCACTATGCTACCCCTCTAACCTAGACCAACCCACTCAGGTCACTACTCTTAAGTGCTCTAAACTAAGGCATATGGGAATGTTTATGAGCACCTCTTCCATATTAAAAAAAAAAGTTTTCTTTTAAAAATTAAGTTTATGAGCACCTCTTCCATATTAAAAAAAAAAAGTTTTCTTTTAAAAATTAAGATCAAGCCGAGTGGTGGTAGTGCACGTCTTTAATCCCAGCACTTGGGAGGCAGAGGCAGGTGGATCTCTCTGAGTTCGAGGCCAGCCTGGTCTACAGAGTGAGTTCCAGGAAAAAAAAAAACAAAACAAAAAAGCAAAACACAAAGAAAAACTAAGATCAAATGCAAAATATTCTGTAACTTCTTACAAAGCAAAGCACTCTGTCATGTGTGATATTTGTACTGAAATTGTATCTTATCTGCAAAGTCAATAAAAGAATAAAGCATTAGATGAGATGAGATACAACCTTATCTTTAAGTATGATCAAAGCCATCTGAGAATTTGTTTTTAAAGACCTCCCTAATGGTCTCTCAGAATTAATGTGTGGGGAATAGTTTCATTTTAAATGACTTCGTAGTAACTAGCATTCTAGCTCCCACAAGGAGCTGGAGATAAAGGAGGTACAAGTAGTTTCCGCACCTTTGCAGCAACATGGCGTTTGAAGTAGGCTAGAACTGCTTATATCACAAAGTAGGAGCTCTAGCTGACAAGCGTGGTGAACGTGGCTCTGGCAGGCTTTGTCCCCTGACCACTCCTCTTCGTTGCTAAAACCATTAGATTACAATCCTGAAGCTACCCACCGAAGTCTATTCCCTTATATGGCCTCTTCCTATTTCTGAGGCTAACTACCAAGATCCAGCTATCAGAGTACTGGAGTCAAGCAATCAAAAGCTCCCTTTGACTGCCCTAATTAACAGGCCCAATCTAAAAACAAACAAGCAAACAAACAAAACCTCTCATCCTGTCACAGGGCTTCCCCTTTTACCTTTATAAACGGCTGTTTGCTCATGAGTCACAGCTATCTCTCTATCCAGTGGCAATCCTTTGTCCCTCTAGGACAAATAATCCCCTTCCCCTTCCTTTGTTATTTTCCCCTTCTCCCTCATCATTTACCTCCTATCTTTGTCTCTTATTCCCTGCCCTTTGTCCCTCTGGGACAAATAAATCTCCTTTGTGCTGAGACCTTGGTCTTGAGATGCAATACTGATCCCTTCACTCACTGCCTGTAATCTTTTTGCAATAAGAAAGTTGCTTTTTTGCTATATCCTCCAACACTAGATGATCTCTTTTAAAAATCTTTTTATGTGTACGGGTGTTCTGCAAACATATATGTATGTGTACCACATATGTGTGATAGCTGTGGAGGCCAGGAGAGGACGCTGGATCTCCTAGAACTGGAGTTACCAACGATTGTGCACTGACTTGTGGGTGCTGGAATCAGACTCAGGTCCTCACAGGATCAACCAGTGATCTTCATGCCTGAGCCATTTTGACAGCCCTGGTATTGTATAGTTTCCTCTAATAATGAAATATTACATCCTACAGGGAAGCTCCTTAAGCAAGCAAGTAAATAACTCAAAATAGCTTCAGGAAGTCCCTGAAACTAACCAGATTCACTAGACCCGCTTCCTGCCAGAGTAAACAAAAGCTGACAAAACCCCTCTCAGATTAAAAGAAGCTGAGCTGCAAAGAAGACTCAGAGGAGAAAAGCTGCAAAGAAGATTCAGATCAAAACAGCTGCCTCAAAGACGCAGAAACCAGCCTGTCTGGAAGAGGTTTAGACCATCTGAGGCACCTAGAGAGGACACTCTCCAACCTGTGGAGCTGCCTGTAGGCTGGGCAGTGCGCTCTATGTTCCCAGCTGGGGTGGCCCTTAGTGATGCAGCTGTCTTTGAGTCATTTCTATTCCTAAAAGCAACCCCAATAAAACTCACTGGTTCACCAAACTGCACTTGGGTGGTATCTGTACTTTGATCTGTCATGAGTTCCCTGTCTGGGTGAGTAAACATGCGTGTTCCATCTCCCTAGGAAAAGCTTCGTCACACACCTAGAAGTTCCTCTTGCAAACATTCAGAGTGCTAAGGCACTAACTACATAGTTCATGGTGGTAGCAGGGGCTGTTCTGAAATCCAAGAGTAGGGGAGCCTACGCTTGAACCCTTGGAGGTTGTGAGAGTCTCACCAAGATACCACCAAAGGGCCAGGCTATGGATACCGGCACCGGCACTGGCAGAAGATGGGAAACGGGCAAGGCATTATGTTTACTGTATTGAGAGCATGTTGTCTTTTTGTTTTCTTTTGGTTTGGTTTTGGTTTTTCGTGTGCTACCACTGCCTGGTGAGAGCATGTTGTCTTGAATCAGAGCGAAGAGGAGCAGGGATGAAGGATGCAGATGGGCATCTGGAAGAAAGTGGTACCAAACTCCTGACGCTGAGGCTTGATGGTGCTTATACAAAATCCTGGGGAAGCTACCTATATGTATTTATAGGCCTCACTGCTAACTGCCCAGGACTTAAAGGAGAGCTGTGGTCTGAAATGTCATGTCTCCTAGACCCATGTATGGGAACCTGGCCCCAAGAGAATGATGTTAGTTGGGTATTTAGGATGTACTTAGCCCATGGAATTAATTGCCTTACCCAAGAAACTTAAGGAAGCCTCTGTATCTTTGTCATCTGTGAGAAAGTGGAATCTTGATCTTGAACTCCCACTCCATAGCTATGGGAAATAAAATTCTGCTGTTTACAACTTACCCAGACTGTGCCAGGCAG